CAGGGAGAGGCCACGAGTGACTGACGGCGTGCTACGTGTGCAGGAGGATTTAACTTGAAGACATATCCTGTTGGCCACGTGTCCGAGCCATTTTTCGAGGTCAACAAATCATTTTGTTTTTCATTTTTTTATTCTTAACAATTTATTTATTTATTTATTTTACAACTACAAAAATTACTAAATAAATAATTACGTAAAATATAATCGTTTGCGTTGACTTTTATTAGACGAGTGAGACCCAATAACGGCTATATTTTCAATTTTAATTGGATTTTAATCCTTCCCAAACAAGCTCTTACTATAAATGCCCACAACAACAACAACAATAATTATTATTATAATATTGATAAAAAATTATTGTATTAAAAAATATATAACACAAATGACACAAATACTCTTAATTAATTTGTTCAGAAAATAAAAGCAAAGGGTAAAATTGACTTTGCAGCATTTGGTGCAAAGTTTGGTGCTACATTGGAGACACTTTGCACCATTTTTTTGGTGCATTTTGGTGTTTTGGTGTCTCCTTTGGAGATGTCCTTAGTCCTTGTTTATTTTTCATTCTTTAAAAAAAAAATTCTATATATTCATTTTCAACCACACATTCACATGATAAAATATTCTAGACGTAAACTTAAATTTTTTTCCTACTTTTTAACTACATATCTTCTAAAAGTTCACTATTCAAAACAAAATTTTCCCTAAAAAATGCCCACAAAACAAGGGCTTAGAACACATTCTACTGGACTAGATGAACTCAATAGTTAAGGTGGTCGAGCTTAGTACTCAACTTAATGGTCGAAAAGTAGACACACAAAGTACTACAAATTCACGTTTGAAGTCAAAAAGTTCTCTCATTCTAATAGAAGAGATTAAGAAAATTTTTATGACGCTTCTAATTAGATAAGATTGAGGACCTGTCTGGGAGAAATTGTAAGCAAGATTTTATGTCCTTTTTTTACCGTTGACAGCCCCCTTTTTTGACTTTTTCCTCACATTGGTTGCACAATAACGGTCAAGAAATCAATTTTTTTGAACAAAAAATTAGAAACAAACAGCCACTGATAAAGACCAAACATGATCTTGTTACATTTCTATGGTAAATCAAACATAGT